CAAGATAAAATTTTGTTATTTTTCAAGTAGAAGAAATAATTTTATTAAAATTCAGTCAATCTACTTAGATTACAATAGTGAAGTTTATCTAGCTACAAACAGTTATTTGGAATTGTTATGTGTTAAAGTATAAAATTGATAAAAATGTTAGTTTTTGTTGGTTACATATTTTTAAAAACGAAAGTTTGATTTTGAGAAAAAAAATGTTTTGTTAATTATAAATAAGATAAAAATTATGGAATGTCAGATAAATTGTTCAACATAATGGTAAGACATTTTTTTCATACGTTCCAATTATATTTCCTCCTGGAAAATAATTTCCAGCCACATACATGGTGCTATTATCACTTGTCACTGCTCTACCAATACCTAAGCTAGTTGAACCTTTCCAAATTACTGCTGTGAAATGTCCATAGCTCAATGCATTATAGCCAGGATTTGACCAATTATAATATTGGATTTCTTTGTACCAGTCGTCAACTGGATCTGCACCTTTGAATATACAAAACTTTTAAATAAAAATTAAAGAAACCGAGGATTGTTTACCTTTATTATTTAATAATATTCCACCAGATTTCATAAATAAATTTTCTCCCATCCACTGCCCGTTGAATTTATTTCCACTATGTACCAATGTATGAGTGTCAGCTAAATGCTGTGCATAAGTTTGTGCTATATCATTCAATGCTGGATCCAATGTTAGAGAAGGTACACAATGTTTTTTACGTAAAAGATTATGTTCATCTAATGCTTGTTGTCTGTATGTTTCGAGACTTATTGTTGGAAGTGGTGCAGGTGTTGGAAGTGGTGGATATGGTGCTTGTTGTTCTAAAATAATGTCAAATTTGAATTATGTAAGACAATAAAATCATTATAAATAACTTTTTTTTAGTTCACTTACTGATACAAGATCCAGTTATATACTGTCCATCAGTTATATTGTATTGTATTGTAGTTAGTAACTGACAGATTTGACTAGACGCTCGATATTGCCATGCCATGCATGTTGCTGATGCATCACATTTACTCATGCAATCTTGATAAGTAGCCACTTGCTTTATTGTTGGACCGTTATTACCATAATAGTAGCAGCCTGATAATACTTCCGTGCAGGCAGTTTCCTTCGCAGCTGGTCCTTTAAAATAAAAATGATAAACGGTAATTTACATACTACTTTGGTCAATAATTCAAACAGTCATATTCATATTGAGCTTTTCACTATTTCTAGAGTAAAAATTACCTTCTTCTATGATTCTTGACAACGATATTATAAAAACAACGATCTTATCAAATTTTCTTTTGTTTATTCTGTAATTTTCTCGGCGAATGGAAATTCGAACTATTCTTTTAGAAAGTAATATCGAGAAAAAAAAGCGAATGACAACCGACTTCTGTAGTACACTTACCAAGACAAGATCCACCATTTTTTAAGCCATCACCATATAATGTATGCAGCGATGTTTGAAGCCAACAACTCTTAGTGGAGTTTCTATATGACCATCCATAGCACTTACTATCTGTTTCACACACATTCATACAATCCTGATATGTATCAAGATTATCTATGACTGGTCCAGTCTCACCTCTATAACCCATGCCTGATAATATTTCTTGACACTTCTTTGGTGTAGCATCTGTTCCTGAAAAATAATAGATTCAAAATTAGAATAAACATATCAAATGAATACTGAAAATGAAAAAGTTACATTATAAAATAATGCTTTTCTAATCATGATCAGAATTAGTATGAAGAATTAATTGAAGTTAGAAATTAAAAGCATAGAAAAAAGTATGATTATTTACTTTTTCTCCATCGTAAATTGTCATCATTGTTTAATCGAAGACGTTTTAAAAGTTGTCGTATATAGAGAATTGATGCATCACGCTGATCATATGTATTGTCGAAATCTTCGACAAAATATGATTCAGCGGTGTGGATTGAGAAGAGAATTGTAAGTATGTAAACACAACTTAATATTCTCATAATTTGAACCAATTTATTTCTAAATAAAATGTAAATGAGAGAAATTGTATTGTTTTCATAGATACTTCTATCATATCTTTTTCTTTTCATCATAAGAAATAATATATATATATATGTAGCTTTTATTTCTGACCGGAAAAAAAAACACTATAGACTCAATCGAAAGGCAATAATCAATTGTAAGTGATTATTGATACAATGTATTTATCTCTAGGAGAATATTGTATCAATCAGAATGATTATTTTCAAATCTTCAAAAATGCACACAGATGCTTTTAAGAAAGTAGCATCTGTATAAATTTCTGAATCAAAAACAAAATTGGCTTTGTGATATTGTTTCATAACAAAAGCTTGTACTGGTCATTTTGTACATGAACAAAATAAAAAATAAAAAAATAACTTACTGTATCATATTTGAATAATGTCTAAATGTTATTCACTATTTGATTAAAAGAAAAAGTAAATAACAACACCACATAACAAAAATATAAGTATTTAAACATTTATCAGATACTGTGATTATTCAGGCATAAAAAATAAAAGTAATGATAATACGAACATAACTGCTTGTATTTTTTATTCTTGTTTTGCTTGTCTTACCAGTATCTACAGTAACTTTATGAAAAAAACAAGGTCTAATCATCCACTTTTCTATTCAAACTCGTGACAAACTGATGCTTATCAACAATGTATCATTGTTAGTTTCTTTCACAGTGAAGCATGAAAATGTAACGAAAAGACGACACGTGATTAACTGTCTCTCTCTACTTTTCTCATAGAAAACAAAAAGAAGAGTGATAGAAACAACATGAACTTTTAAAAATTTGCATAATATGATTTATTCGAGTAAAACCTGATATCGATTTAAACTAATTAAAAGTCGACAGTTAATAGAAAGAAACATCACATCAAATTTTATTTGTAAAAATCTTCTAGAAACAATAGAAAATCATTTTCATCTGAAAATTTTAACCAAACATATTGAATTCTACTTCGAAAGCACTGAGAACATAAACTAATTTTATTATTCAGATAAGATATTGTTGGTTAACTTTTCAATTTGTTTTAATGAGAAATCTCATTTGAACAAGATTATTCAAAGTATATGATCAACTGTAGAATATTTGATAATTTCTATTTATCTTGCTTATTTTCCCAATGAAAAAAAAACACGATCGAAGTATTCATATAAAGCAAAACGTTACACTTCGTTGAATAATCATTTAAATGTGAGTAATGATGAAAAGTAACAGTAATACACTCTATTATGACCTATATTCATATAAGACGTCAGACTCTATTCATTATAAGTTTTTAGTATCCAATATCATCGGAGCACCATTTTTTTCATTTTTTGCGAGCTTTTGATTAGTTTTCATAGGTAAAATTCTGATACTGAATGCATTTCGGTAAAAAATCTCGTGGGCTATCGAAATCGGTATTTGGATCCATTTTAAAGTCTAGCAGCGGTGAAAAAAAATTGAAAATATATGTATGAATAATTTTTTAATCCACTGTAATTGATAATACTAAGATGTATTTAAAATTTATTCAGATACACAGTTGTATCTTTTCAAGATTGTTAAACTCCATGTTATATAAATAATATCTATCAAATAAATACTACGACAATGATATTTTTATAAGAAAATCGTCCAATCTTCTTAAAATTAAACTATAGACATGAACTTTTTTTTTGGTAAATGCCATTCATTAAGATCTATAGAGTGCGTAAATATGTAATGTTAAAACAAGTAATATGGCATTGAGTCAATTTATCCTAAAGAACAAATACCACCAGAATAATTTTTGATATTAACCCTTCGTAGCTGTCCTCATTTTGAGCTTTCAGTTGTAGTCTTATAATTACTTGGACACAACAGAGAGGAAATCTAGTCTTTCTGTATGGGTTGGGCATAGTACGCACTAGTCAAAAATAGCAAACCGAAACAGTAGCTGCAGTCTTGTTAGAAGATATAGACAGGTGGTGGGTCCGCTTGGACCCCACGACAGCAACGAAGGCTTGAAGACAAACGACAGAATACGAATATCAGTAAGATAATTAATCGTACT